TGGGTGGTTGATCATAAGCCTACTTCCGAAGCAGACGATGGCCCAACGAACTCGGTAAATTGAAATGCCCAGAGGACAGCAAAGTAGAAAAACGAAACTGACATGAACGATGAGTCATGCCTTCTGTGAGATTTGGTATTTCCAGAACGTAAAGTACACACTATGTAATCGTCTGACTAAATGATCCCGGCCGCTCTGAACTCGCCAAACGCCTCGAGCCAACCTTCCACCGGGTCCCTCTCTTCGTCAAAGCCTGTAGCTTTGAGTCTTTCCAGACTCAACTGCCTGTCAAAGGTCAACCACCAGCCCACGCTGTCCAGCCGCACGCTGCCAGCTCCCACGCCCTTCTCGGCTGCGTCTGCGAGGCCCCTCGTCGCGAAAAGGCGCTTGTGCTTCTCGACGTACTCGCCGGGCTTCAATGCCGCCGCATCGGCCTCGGGCCCAACGCCAATCAAGCCAAACCAGCCAGCGATACCGGGCCAGAGCTCGCGAAAGGTTGTTGGCCGTGCTCGGTCTGCCATGTTCACAATCTTCCCACCACATTCTGCCGGGTGCAGCGCGGCGTGGACGGATATCCTGCCGAGCGTCCGACTTGACACGGGCGTGAACAGTGCGTCGGATCCTGCTTCGCTGCCGGGGAACGGAACCTCGACTTCTCCAGATGATGCGTTGTTGAGGCGATACAGGGTGAGATACTGTGCCCAGTGGAGCGCCAGCGAAAAGGCCGAGCCGTTTGGTGAGAAGCCGACGACGGCGTCGGGGCAGACCTCGGTCCATGTCCACGACCGGCCTCTGCTGGCTCTCGTGAGAATCTGTCGAAACCACGGATAGGCGACCGTCTTGGCATAGTCCTCCGGCAGCGTGTCGGCCATGGATTCGACGAGGGGAGCCGTGAACGTGCCGCCGGGGTTGTAGATGCCATAGCCCTTGGCTTGTTGTCAGTCGCTGGGAGTGGAGTTTCGACACAGCTTCAGTGACCTACCCTTGTGCCGCCGGCGTAGACGATTGACTTGAGCTGGGGGCACAGCAGGTTGAGGGCGTCGGTTACACGCTGCATCATCCCGCAGTTCACGCGGCATTCTTCCCTGTGGTCATCGTTGACCGGGGAGAAGACTGTCCTCATGGTGTCAGAAAGATGGTAGTACAAGTGAAGCCATGATTTCTGTTGAGCATACCAAAATAGAACGCGTGCGTGACTTTTTCGATGCCAGGTGCCTTCTCCCGAAGTTGACGAGCCAGAGCGTCCGCATCACCGTCCAGCAAGTTGATCCCTGAAGCGATGTGCAGGTTGGGACGTGTGGATGATGCAGCTGGCCAGTGCAAAGCAGCCTCGGCGACTGGTCTGTTGATGACTGCCGTGACCTGGGAGAAAGTCTGCGGCGCGGGGTAGCCGGACAGGAGTTGGTCGACAGCTGCCCAGCCGAGCAGGCCTGCGGCGCCGAACACAAGGGCGTGGTTCTGGTCTGTCATGACGTTGGGGAAACTGATGATCTATGACAAGAAGATATTGATCTGGGTTGGATGTTTTTTTTTTTGCAATGGAATGCCGTTGAATGTATCCCAAAGATCCGGTAAGTCGCTCAAGAAGCCCGAGGCGCTAGCGGCGATGATTCATAGTGAGCCGCCGGCGGCCAGCGATCGCTTTCAGGGCCCCACGACGCTGGAGCGAGGCTGTCGGGGCGAAAGAAGGCGCTACGTCCCCTGGAAAGACACCAGACATCAACCACTCAACAACTTGTTGAACCCCAGCAACATGAATTATCATTAATATTATTCTAGAAGCAGAGCATCCCCAGACCCGAGATTCTCAAATCTACATGCCAGCTCTCCCCCCGGCAGACGCTGCTTCTCGGCCTCGACAGCATCCTGCAGCGTGAGCTGCTCCCGTTTCAGCAGCGGAGCCACGAGGCCCTTCCCCCCCTTGATCTCGTCGTGCGTCGCCACCCAATATTTCGCGCCGCTCTCGCTGGCAGCGCGAATGCCGTTCAGACCACCTAGGTTGAGCTGCCTCACCAAGCCCAGCGTGATGCTGTGGAGACCGTGCAGCAGGGCCAGTGTCCTGACGCCGGCCGCCTTGACGTGGGCGAGATCAGAGGCCTGCAGCCCGTGGGGCGTGTAGATGATGGCCTCGGGGCCTGATGCACCAGCGGCATCGATCTCAAATGTGACCATGAGGGCCGAGTGGAAATAGAGGGGATTGCTCTCTGTGATGATCCGGCTGATGCCGAGCCAGGAAGGTAGACCTGACTGGCGCAAGGCGTCCTGCCACTCCTTCGAGTCGGGGGAGAAGTGCGGCGTCGTGGTCACCGTTTCGAAATGTCCCCATGCGCGCACCATCTTGGCGGCCTTGGTTGTCGCGATGATGGGGATCGACGGCGGCAGCTCGAGGAGCGTCTCCTGGTGGCAGTGGTCCGTGAACTCGTGCGAGATGGCGACGGCATCGATAAAGGTATCAGGCCCTCCTCCTCCTCCTCCTCCTCCTTCTCGTCGTCCTCCATCACCAGCGTCACCATCTGGCCTCTCGACGGATGCGACGAGTGAGCTGAGCTCGTGCGTCGTCTGGACGCTCGACGCGACGACGTGCCACTGCCTCGAGAACCACGATGCGACGTCAGATTGAGAGCCCCGAAGCCATGGGTCGATCAGCAGGTTGAAGCGGCTGCGGCCCGGTGGCGGTGTCTGGCCTTCTGGGTACGGCAGCTGCAGGAGCCATGTCGTGTCGGCGTTGAGGTGGATCAGGACAGGTCTAGGTGATTGCAGCGCCGCGCGCCATTGCGCCTTGTCGGTGATGTTGAACGTGTCCGCATTGGTGCGGTTGGCTTCCATCGGAGTAAGCAGCCTCTATTCTTGTGGAACCAGAGACAGAACGGAATACTTGCCAATGTGCGGCGCAACACTGGCGGAAATGGGCAGCGTTATGAGGTGGTGATTCGCCCACGTGCGGGGTGACGTCGACCATATTCCTTGCCCGAGGCCTGGCTATAATCAGCAGGCCATCGCCCCCTTTCGGCAAGAAAGTATATATAGCTGTCGTTCCACCATGCCTTCTGTGGACTTTATTTCTTTGTTTCAAACATCCACCGACTCCTCAATTGCCTGCCTTCTGATGAGTACACGTAGAAAGTCACGATACAACCATGACTACAAGGCTTGGTAAGACTGATGCTGGATGCCTTTCCAAAATTGAGTGTCACGACATCCGACAGTCGCATGTGCTTCACTTGGATTACACGTCAAGCTCGCTATCGTGACCTAAGGTTCACATCATGGCGTGTTCCCCTTGTGCCTTTTCCTGCCCATGTTCACGGCGGGCTCTGTACGATGCGATGTAACGTGTACTGGAGTCGGCTGGAAGCATAATCTTGACCTTCGATGAACTTGATTTGCTCGAACATTTGACTTTTCTCCCTGCATGATAACTCGTATACCTAGTAGCTGGAGCGCTGTCTCAAGTATAGACCCATGTGAAGCTGTCCGGGGCCTGGTCCCATCTTGAATTCCTCTCATATCGCAACGTCCGTAGCCCCAAACTCCAGGCTGAGCACGACTTGCCCCAGGCAACAGCGAGGCCGTCCGCTGCAGCCAGAGCGCCTCCTGTAACCTTGTTTTCCGCGGCCTCGGAGATTCTCCGACCACCCAGCACCCGCTCTCGACCCGCTTCACAGACAAAACTGACAAAAGTGCCAATCTGACGCGGCCGCCGCAGCGCTTGCTTCCTGCACCCCGCATGCCCAGACACGGAAGTTCCTCCCAGACGCCTGTACTGCAGATAGATCGCGCGAGTGCGGCCCCGTAATTCGCGTGATCACGAGAAGATCGGCAGCGGCCGCCCCCGCTTCCGGGGCCGCCTCGTAAGGCAGAGCGAGAGCGGGCCAGTGCCGGCGCTACTCATCATGCCACGCCCCGTGGGGAATGGGCCGGTCCGCCATGAGGGGGGCACTTTCTTGGTGAGAGGGCACGCAAAACCTGCTGGCCGATGAATCTTGCTGCCGTTTTCGGCCGGCTTGCGTCTTGATTGCTTTGTCCCATTGGTGCGCGTATGTGCCGTCGCAACATGGTACGGGGAATACGCGAATGTTGCCATGTCTCGCCTCGCTTGTCCCCGCTCGAGACGCTGTGATTTCGTTGGCTATGGCTAGGTGACAGTTGCTTGATCCTCTTGGCCGACCTGAGCCTTCAACTCATCTTGTCAACACGGCGAAGTCGACAATGTGACTGCACGAGACGCCGGCGCGCGCTTGGCTCACTCCAGCTGCTATGATGTTTTGTGAAAATAAACGGGCTTTGGACACAGCTTCCTTATAATTTGAGGAAGGACGAGACTAAACCTTAGAGACATGGACCTCTGACTGGAAGCCCCTTCCAACAATGCTGACAGCGCAGAATGTAGCCCTAGCCGGCGAAGATCACCGGAACAGTCCTTCATTTGCCAAGAATGACACTGTCAGACTATGACGAGAAAACAAAGTCCCATCACTGGCCTACATCACCCGGCTGTGGCGGCAACAGAACTGGACAATGTGTCTATGACTGTTCCGTTTGCGTGTTGTGCCCTTCTGCCAAGGAGGCTCATCGGTGGAGTTTCGAATCCTACGGCAATCGTTTCCTCTTGTGATACTTTTCACGCCGTCTCCATCACTACTCCTCATGTTGCGATGCATGAAAGTGGTGATGAGGCTTCTGTTTGGCCCCTTATGCGACCATGAACTGATCCATAGCTAGACGGAACAGGCAGCTGGACCTTTCTGATGACAGACGTAGGGTCGCGAGCCAAGACGTGTGACGGGACATACCTGACATCGCCTGAGGACTTGGTCGGATACTAGACCGGAGGCATGTCCACGATGGAGTCTCGAGGTATAAATACAGCACCTGTCGTCGTCTTTCTGATCTCATGTCTCCTCTCTTCATCACGCTCAACACGATCACATTCACAAACCACAAAGCATTCCAGACCGTACACAAAGCCAACCAGAGTTTTCCCTCCTCAACACATCAAAATGAAGGCCGCCACCATCATCGCTACCATTTTCGCCGGAGTCGTCATGGCCTCTCCCGTCGCCAACAAGGCCAGCGGAGCCGGCGAGGCCAATATTGAGAAGCGCTGCCTCTACGACAGCTGCCAGGACTGCTACAGCGCCACTCCTCCCCAGGGTCCCGGTAACATTGGCGCCTCGACCGGCCAGTAAGTTTTCTCTGAACATGGAAATTCTCCAGCGTGAGTACTCACAGTGTTACAGCATCATCTACTGCGCCACCTCCTGCTGCTAGACACCGCCAAAAGATGGACCTGCCGAGATAGTGGGACAACTTCATGCTCAGGACGACCTGGGGGCTCAGTACGGTTCGCTAAAGGAGTTTGAAGTGGGGTACGAGGGCAATCCATCAAGTTAGATTGCTTAGCTTGAATATCAAGATCAGTTGCCTCAGTTCCCATGGCCTATAAGCGCTTCCAAAGCTTTGCGAAGAATTTTGTCAAATCAAGGTAAACCCTATTTTTCAGGCCTTTCTCATGCCATGACATACGGAAAAGCCGAATCATTTGATCCTTAGGTCTCTTAAGCCGCGCTCTACTGCTGTTGGGGGAACTTCACCTAGCAGTGCTATCAGACAGACGCAGTCGTGGGCCACAGCCGAGCTGTGCATGTTCCTCATCGTCTTACTTCGTCTGCCGAAGGCTCTCTCTGAGGTCCTTGGCGTTGTCCAGACCCATCTTGCCGCCCTCAACCTATCATCAAGCAGGCTCAATGACCCGAAGCCATCGCCGACCCTTCTGTGAAACTCCAAATCTCCATGCAACCCCACACCCAATCCCCGAACAGGCGCCTCGGCCCCCTTCTTTTGGGGAATCCCTGGCTGCCTCCGCACCAAGACACGTCTCCCCGCGGTGGGACGCGGCCCGGAAGCTGATCCACGCATCACATGGGCCTGTGAACTTCCCGCATTGAAATTCCGGACGCTCGCTCTCCGAAACCTACCCAAGCTATCGGCGGAGAGCCACGCTCAGCCCGCCCCGTCTTGCCTCCGCAATTGGTGACATTTGGTTCATTAGCCAGAATGCACCTCGTTCTTCAAGATGCGCTATCCTCTTTGGGCCGGCGGCTGTCAGGCTGCGATGGTCCGAATCAACAAGATGCCACCTTTCCTTGGAGCTCATCCGAGCTTTATCTTGTCGCGAGGGGCATCGCATTGTCCAGCGCAGCTTGCTTTTCTTCCTCCACTTTCAATCCCTTCCGAAGCAAACTTTGCAACCAACAAAACCAGCTGTTGTCAGACTATCTCTTCAGTGGACACCAGGCAAAGCTAGAAAGAGGTACACACGTGCCTACACCAGAAACATGTCGGGAACGCAGACGGAGACGCTGGTCCAGCTTCCCATCCATGATGATGGCGTCGAGACCAGTGAAGCGGACGGGGAGAAGCCGATCAAGGTCGACTTTGATCTCCAGATTGGCGTCGAGGAGATCCTCGTCGACGTCGATCCCAGTGTTTCCCTCGAGTTTCTACAGCGAGCGAATGCCCTCGCAGGAAAACGCCCGCCTCATGTCCCAACCAAGGAGTGGCTCGTCAACACGCACAATGAGCACGTGCAGAAATTCCAAGCCGCAATGGTCGGGCAGACCAATGTGCCGAGGATGGTAAAGAAGGTCATTCTGGCCCTCTCATACGCACCATCAACAACACCCATCAAGGACCTCGAGACTGTACGTTCAGAACACACGCTTCAGTGACTGCCGCTTTGTTAACATGACTACAGATGCCGCTCAATGAGTTGCTCGTCGAGAATCACCACGAAGAGAAGAAACTTGTCGTCAGGACAGTTACACCACCTTACCAAGGCGCTGGAGTCGTGACCATCGTGGAGGACGAGTTTGGTAACGTCGAGAAGCTGGGAATCTACAACCAGGGAGACTCCAGCATACTTAATGCCGTGCCAGAGGGTTCTGTTGTGCTTATCAAGGAGCCATACTATAAATTCAGCGGCAACCATGATTTCATGATCTGCGTCGATCACCCCTCAGACGCTATCCTTCTGCGCCAAGGGCCCGACGATGAGCTGATTCCAGAAGTCTTCCGAACTGGTGAAGAGCTCAAAGAGGCCCCCCAGTGGAGAGAAGCTGGTGACAAGGCATATATGGCGAGGAATTATCCCTTGGCCATGGCAAAGTGAGTCACCCTTTACTTTGGGTAGAAATTCGTACACGCATGTGCTAATCGTCATCTACCAGCTACACGAGAGCCCTCGAATTGGCCCCCGCAGACGATGAGAAGTTCAGATCCGACTTGTGCTTGAAGAGGGCCGGCGTGCAGCTCACACTAAAGTGTTACGACGGCGCCATGGCCGATGCCCTCGCCTCTCTTGGAGGTCCCACGGACTGGAAGTCCTACTTCATCGCCGCGCGTGCAGCCTACGAACTCACATTCTTCGACGTCAGCAAGCAGCACTTTGAGGCGTCCATCGCAATTAAGCCCCCCACACCTCAGATTGAGAAGGAGTACAAGCGATGCCTGGCGCGCGTTGATGAGGCTGAGAACGGCAACTACGACTTTGCGACAATCGCTCAGTCCGTAACCTCCAAAAACATCCACCTTGACAAGGCAAGTTACATCACGAAGACTGAGGTCCGTGATTCACCACACCACGGTCGCGGCCTCTTCGCTACACGCGACATCAAAGCAGGCGAGATTATCTATGCGGAAAAGTCGACATGTGTGCCCAACGAGTTCCACCCCGAACACAACGCCGCCGCTGCCTACGCCCAGCTCGTCGAACGCTGTAACGACAACCCTTCTGTGCACGAGAAGGTGCTTGGGCTCTACGGTGGAACGTACAAGCGCAGCGGCCGCGAGAGCGAGGTCATCGACGGCAAGCATGTCGTCGACGTCTACCTCCTCGAGTCGATTCGTCGCAAGAACTGCTTCAGCGGAACACACGTCTCCGCTCAGGCTGCCAACGCCAACTGGGACATGTGGAAGCAGGGTATGAGCCGAGGCCTCTGGGTCTACTCCGCCTACTCCAACCACTCGTGCCAGCCCAACTCGAACCGGTCCTTTGTTGGAGACATGCTCATCTCCATTGCCGTCGTCGACATTCCTGCCGACACCGAGATCACGCAAATCTACCTGCCTCCAAAGGCCGCCTACCTCCAGCGTCTTGAACAGTACCGTAAGAGTTGGGGCTTCAAGTGCGCGTGTGACATGTGCGCCGGCGAAGGCAAGAGCCCCAAGGAGATGCACGAGAAGCGTATCGTCGCACTGCGGGAGCTGGAGGCGAATTTGCGCAAGAAGAACATGAGCGCTCGCCTCTATCAGTCCGATGCCATGATCCGAGAAATCGAACGCCTTCACAAACGTCTCGATAGCCTCTTTGAACCAGAGATCTACGGGACACTTCCTCGCATGATGATGATTTGGCCCTCGATGTGGTTTATGGAGGTGTACCGCACCAGGAAGGCCTGGAAGAAGGCCATCAAGTGGGCGTTAGAGGTGCTGCGTAACTTTGGGTTCATCGACCCGCTGAGGAACATGGACGGCGAGGTTGGCGGTGACGAGTCGATGCTGTGGGTCTTCAAGTCGCAGACGGGTGTGGTGACGTTTGAGACGATCAAGGCATTGAAGGTGCTTGCTGAAGGGTACTGGGCGCTCGGGGAGACGGTCCTTCAGAGGCAGGCGACGGCGGCGGCCAAGATTGCGCTCAAGTGCATGGTGGGCTTTGTGACGGAGGAGACATATTGGTCTTTCAACTAAGACTTCGGAGCATAACGTGGGCACAAATCAGGACTGGTTGAGTAGCAACATGGGATATTGGACTGGCGTTTAAACGGTTGAGGTTTGTAGAAATTCTATTGCTCTGTTCAATTCTAGTTGGCTGTTAGTCCTTCTTAGCTTCGTGGGCTTCATTTTCTTCGCTGTGATCGCCGTCGTCGTCTTCTTGAGATGTGGTTTCCAAACCTTTACCAGACAATTCCTAATCAGAGCCATAGATGGCCTCCATGTTGAAAAGTATTTCCACTCTTGGCGTCCAGTAAGTCGACGACGTGTGCGACAACTGCAGAATTGTTTCCCTGAGCATAGTCGTAAAGCGTCAGTGTAACCAGATTCAGAGGTTCTGCGCCGACAAGACGATCGGGCGACTCTCACGCAAGCTCAGTGAAATGGGGACTACTCCCATTACTTCGTGCACCAAGAAGTAACTGCACGTCCAACAATAGTGTCTCCAGCGTTTCAAATCCACGTAGAGACCCGACTTCGTGGTCTAAATCTTAGTGTTATGCTGATCCGCTGTGTGCCGCGGCCCGCTGCACTGAGCGTCATCAACCCAGCAGTAGTCCATCTGATTCTCGTAGAACTCATCATCACCGCCGTCCAGCTCATCAATTTTCTTCTCGTCCGGAACGTTCCCAGGCTCATTACTTGGCAGTCTTGGTCGCCTTAGTTCTGAGCTTCATCATCAGGAACACCAAACCGTACGAGCTGATACAAAATAAGGCCGTAATACCCACCTGGTCAACAGGGTTAGTCACACGCATTAAACATCCGGCCATTTGAACTTACATCTCTCCATCCGTAATATTTCTCGTTGATGTTCATGGTCCGCAGATAGTCTGCGCCTGTGCTGTAGGGACAGTATGCACACCTGGTCTGGTTAGTGATATCGGTAACATATACTGCATTGATGGCCAAGAAATCATCCATGTACTCCCCACAGGTCGTGTTCTGGGGCAGATCGATGTGAGTCAGCTCGGAAGCCTTGCACTCTACCTCAACATCCCAAATAACGGGCTGGAGCAGTGCACCCATGAGATATGTGAAGGGATCCAAGTAGTACAGCCAATAGCGCCAGAAAGCTTGGATGCGCGCATATGGCACAACGACTCCACAGAAGTTGATCAGAGCGGTTCCGACTATCAGGGGATTTGCAAGAGCAGCAAAGTATTCGTTCGGGCTGTAAGCTGCAATGGCTTGTGCGATTGAGGTGTACAAGAACTCGTAAACTGAAAGGATTGCGTTAGTTATCAGTGTGCTTCAAATCCAAGGTTCTCTAGACTCACGGATCATTTCAAAATATACCTGGCCAGAAATACTGGCTTCCACGGGAAATCCGGCAGTAAAATACCAGCAAGCAAAGTACAAAGTTCCGCAAAGGATGAGAAGCGGTATCTCCGATATGAGTTGTGCCATAATGAAGGCAAACCAGTGATATGTTTTGGACTTCTTTTCTCGGGTCTCGAAAATGTCTCTGTTGCGGAGGAACAGTGGTTGAAGCTGGTTAATGCATCCAGGGGCGACAAAGACAAAGTTGAAGACGGCCATCAATCGAAGCTGCAAATCGAACAAGCCGTCTCCAATCATCCAATATGTGAAACCACCAAAGAGGGAATTGCTGACGTGCAAGCCAATTTTGTTCCAGACGTAGTCTGGATTACGCCAGAGTGCAACCATTTGCCGTTTGGTTACTAGTCGAACTTGGTAGACTAGAGGCGCGGCGAAGTCCAAGATGTCGTCATTGGTTTCCTCGTCCTCGTCCTCGTCCGAATGCCGAATGCCGCTGATATGGAAGTTACCCGGCCTGTTCAGTTGCTCCAGTTCTTGCATTACTGATGTTCTCTCTTGCGAATCAAGCCATGTCTGCGACCAGTCGGTTCCAGTTCCAAACCTTCCTTGCACAACATCAACGATATGCTCAGCGGGGTTTGCGTCCAAATCACATGGCGCGCCGTTCCTTGAAAAGTAATCCAGAACTATGTCGGAGTTCTTTCCGGTGGGACCAAAATAAGTCGTCTTTCCCCCCTTCGTGAGCAGAAGAAGCACATCAAAAGCCTCAAATAAGGCAGCGGAAGGTTGATGAATCGTGCAAATGATGGTTTGTCCAGAGGCTGCGAGTCTTCGCATGAAGCGACAGATTTGGTAGGCCGACTGTCCGTCTAATCCAGATGTTGGCTCATCCAAAAACAGTAGCGAGGGTTTGGCAACAAGCTCCGTAGCCAGTGTCAGACGTTTTCTCTGTTCGATAGATAGCCCAGAGCCAGGATCTATGCAGCTGATCAGGTTCTGTAGTCCAAGAAAGGGGCTTGACTTACTGCCGACAAGGGCGTGCTTGAGGGACGTCAGTTCGAGCAGGTCCATGATGTGTTGAACGTGTTGGACCTTGTCGCTGTCCGGGGTGCCATAGCTTTGTCGTAATCTAGCAGAAAACAGCAAAGACTCCCAGACGGTGGCTGTGGGTTCGTGGACATCGTTTTGCTCACAGTATCCTGTCGTTCTCTGGAAGCTGATCCCTTGGGGTTTGCCGTTGACCATGATACTACCTTCAATCCTGCCACCGTCCTTACGCTGCGCAAGCACATCCATTAACGTCGTTTTTCCGGCGCCGGAGCTTCCCATGAGGGCCACCAGCTGTCCCGGCTTGACGTATCCCGACACGTCTTTCAGGAGCTGCTTTTCGTGGCCTTGGTGACGAACATAGTAACTGATGTCCTTGAATGTGAAAACAGTTTGGACAAGATGCGATGACTTGTGTTCTGTTTCAGAGTCGGAAGTTGCAGGCTGGCGTTCGGCAGCATTTTCGCTGTCCTGAAGTCGACACATCTCCTTCCGCTGGTTGCGTCGGTGAAATAGGACTTTAGAGCCGGAATCCCTATGGATATTGAGTTCGGAAGCCAACGCGGTTAAGAGGGCAAACAAAACCCAGAAGGCGACCAGGATCCCAACGTTGCGCCAGATCTCGGAAACCATTGCGCGATACTGCACCTGGAGGAAGGACTCGCCGTCAATCAGTTGCACAGCAGGGGCAGAGCCCGCGACGGTGCAACTTCTGAAAGCGCTCTCGTTATAGGTGCCCCCAAACGGTACGTATTGTGGCTCAATGCATGTCAAAGTCATTGTGCCCATTTCGCTAGCCAGAACGGCATTGAAGGCATATGCCGCTGGGTTGATGTACCATATCCAGCGGAACCACGGGTGAATGCTGGCAACAGGAATGAGATAGCCTGATTGTCTGTTTAGCGCAAACAAATCTCTGGAAACTTCTTCAGGTGGACACCAACCTCCGTAAACCATCATCGCCATGATAACCCATCCGCTAATCTGCGACGCGAACCCAAAGTGTCTGCAACAAGTTCCGATCATCCTAAAGAGTGAAGTGAAGCACAGCGTCGCCAATACGTAAATCAGCCAGTTCGTGAAAAACTTGCCAGCATCATGTTGGAGGCCCACCATGAAGTAAAATATGATATGAAATAGGGTGAATAGGGCCACGACAAGTGGTATGTCGGTTATAACACAAGCCACGGCGTGAGCAGCAGGCCGATGAAATGCAAGTCGCTTGTGGCGTGCAATGATAGGCCGACCTGTGAATGACACTGTCGTCTCAGACAGTTTGTTCATCGCGAAGAGAAGAATGGGATAGAACAGCGCGCCAGGCTTCATAAAGATGGAATCGCTGGTGCCAGACAAGTCATAGAACAAGCTTCCTGTGACAAGGGCGAAACAGAACGAAGAAGCAATTTGAAGGCAGTTGGACCACCGGTCTCCCCATATGATCTGGAACTGACTACGAGGCGTTAGTTCACGCCCCTTGAATTATTTCCAAGAAATATTGGGGGCATTACCGCTTCGTGCAAGCCCTGACCTGACTCAGGAAAGAGACATGATAGGGGCTTGACTGCCTCGACAGGGTTTCGATTGTCCGTGTCTTTTCAAGACTGTAAACGCTGTTGAGAATCCTGATTTCCTCGCTCAATGATTCTTTCGGAACAAGATCGATGTCTTCCATCATTTGGCTATACGTGGCGGAATTTCGATAACGGGTCTCAAATTCGGGAGCTGAGCGGGGTACGCTATCTTCAAACCCAGATCGGATCAATCTTTCTGTCTCGACTACAACAGAAGTAAGAAAGTCGGCGGTGTTAGCTCCAGGTTGGCTCAAGAAGCCCATATCTTCGAAATATTTTCTCGCATCTCTCGTGGGCCCGTAGTAAATTTGACGGCCGTCGGCTAAGACGAGAACTTTGTCGAACTGAGAGTAGATGCTGTTTCCCGCTTGATACAGAGTGGCCACAATGGACTTTTGCTGCTCATTGGCGGCGCGGCGCAAAGCCCTGACAAAGTCAAGCGCATTACTTGCGTCAAGGCCTCTGGTAGAGTTATCCCAGCATTGCAAAGGGGCCTTTATCATCGTGTCAGCCTAATAGTGCCTGCTACGTGGTTGGGATGGGTGACGTACTCCTGTTTCCATGACTTCTGCAATTGAGACTCGTTTCCGCTCACCGCCCGAGACTCCTCGGATGAATTCATTGCCGACGACAGTGTCACTTGCATGGGCAATGCCGAGAGTCTCCAAGGTTGATTCAAAACCTTTCTCTATCGATGTTGTCGCCATTTCAGGGGGTTTCAATCTGCTTTTCGTTGCTTTTGTCGATGCGGCAAAGTCAATTGTCTCCGCTACCTTCAGAGTTGGGAAGTGAAGATCATCTACAAGGAGAGGTCAGGCTTCGTGACAACTTCCACTGAAAGAATTTCAGATGCTGCAAGAATCAAACACACCTTCGGTGTTCATCACCATGTGCTGGCGAAAGCGCGATGCGTGCTTTGCGTCAATGTCGCCGTATCGTACGTCACCGTTGACAGCATGGAATTCTTCCCGACTGTTTGAAATTACTTTTAATAAAGAGGTGCAACCAGAGCCAGGCCGTCCAAGTACAAGGAGCTTTCACGATAATCAGCGTAGTGTACAACCCAGGGGTGCCAAAAGAACCTCACCATCTCCCCTGGCCGGACCTGGCCCGAGACTTGATGCAGTATGGTCTATATAGCTATGTTAGGTTCCCGGAAAATCGTTTTGGGATAGGATACTAACTCGTTGCGATGTTGAGCCATTTTTGAAAGGAATCAAGTTTCTGACTACCGACGCACAGGTTGAGCCGAAATCCTCACCAAGGCCATGAACCACTATATCCACACTGCGGAACGTGACAGTCAGGCGTTTCGACGTGTTATCGTGCATGTTGGACATCGCTGATGGTCCACGGGCCGTGTACAAAACGAGATTTGTACAAGAACATGGTTCCTCAGAAAGCATGCACCAGGAAAGTCCTGGAGCTTTAAGGGAATTTCTGGAGAATCTGCCACAGGCTAGTGGATCCGATAATTCATCAACTTCAGAGAAGATCCCGAATCTCGGACCTGAAGTACATTTGTTGCACCTTTTGAGGAGTTTTTCGTTTGCTGCCACCACTATACGGGCCGTCGCGGCACAAGTCGGATTTACGGGTTTACGGAAGTACAGTGAGCTGGACAAAGACAATAATCTCGGCAGCGCGAGTCATATCAGCCGAACTCGGATTTATGGATCCCCAGAACTCACAACGCACCTCCCTCCCTCTCTCTCCCTCTCTCTCGTAATTCCCTTGTTACTCCGAGTCCTGGTGCAACACTTCGGAGCATGAGCGACGAATGCTGTCAACAGATCCACTAGCTGATACTGAAAGACCGAATAGCACGCATTTCCAGCGGTCATGTCATCTGCCGCGCATGAGAACGAGGAAGACGACCCTCAGCGGGAAACCACAAAAATAGGCAAAGCCTGCGAGCCCTGTCGGCGCCGTAAGGTCAAATGCGATGGTGCACAGCCATGTTCGCAGATTGGCTGCCAGAAGAATCCCTCTCAATGCATCTACAGAGATAGAACCCGGATCAGACGGTCGAGGGCGCGCAGGCAGACTGAGTCGAACCCGGCGACAGCAGCAACTGCGGACCTCGGTGCCACGGCGTCGGAGAGACATCCGGCACCATCTTCTCGGCCAGAAGAAACAGCTCGTCAGCTGTCTTCCGAGCGATATCAAGAGAATGATCACGCTAGTCTTACAGAAGACGGCCAAGCATCTGGCGACCACGATCTTTATCCTTACGCCAGCATTGTCGCGACGCATGATGCGCCCCAGCCTACTGATAGCTCTCAGCTGTTCTATGGGCCATCCTCCAATTTCGCCTTCTTGCAGCAGCTTCACAGGGGAATTTTGTTTAAGACTGCTCGCAGTCTTCGCCGGGGCGGCGATGTCGAGGAAGGAGGTCCAGGACTTGACTTGTTCATGCAACGGTCGATATTCTTTGGAGCACCTCAGCGTGTAAAGCCAAATGCCTCTTTGCCCTCGTTCTCCGACCTGACGCGGCACATTCCATTGGATCAATTGGACCATTTTTTGGACACCTTCAAGACCTCCCATCTCCATATCTACCCCTTCTTGACAAGTGCCGACATCAACGGAATTTCTCGGCAATTGCATGGCATTGACCCCAAGCCTGACTTCCCACCCCAGAAAACGGCGATTGCCTTGGCAATTCTGGCACTGGGAGCTCTCAGCTCACCGCACACGGAACAGGCCGAGTATCTCTACGCGCTGGCCAAGCGTGAGGCCGTCTTCTTTGACGAAGCTGTCACTCTTTCCATGATACAGTTCTCGGTCCTGCTCTCCGGATATCAGACCAACATGGCTCGGCCAAATTCGGCCTACATCCACCTCGGAACAGCATGCCGAAATGCTTTTTCCATGGGTCTGCATCGACACATCACTGCACCGTCAATGAAGGCCGAGAGCGTGCAGGAGCGCATAGCCACTATTTGGTGTCTGTATTTTCATGAAACGTAAGCGAAGAACCTCATTTAACCACTGAGTGACGGATCATTACTAAAGCCATGGCCACCACAGCTGGACGGCGCTTACACTTGGGAGGAAAACGGCAATGAGCATTGCAGACATATCGTGCCCGTTTCCTGAGCACCAGCCAGTCATCGTTGCGTTGTGTCAGCTAGCGCACATTATTGAGAATGGAACGGAGCATATCTATGGGCGGCGATGCGAATCGCTCCATCAGCTCTACCGCGTAGCGGAAAGGATCCATGGTGAGCTGAAGCAGTTTGCGGATCGGCTCAGCATAGGACCGTCAAACAGTCCATGTGGCTCTCGAACCTTGAGAAAGCCTGAGCTGCTTCAGATTCATTCCCGTACGTTCATTTCATCCAACGCCCTGAGTGTGCCCCCCCCCCCCCCCCCCAACCCACCCAACCCGAGTTGAAAACACAAGCAGATGCTAAGGGAACACTCAGTCTATTACCACGCAATCTTGCACACTTTCCGGCCGTTTCTTGTTGCCAGCGCCGCAATGAGTGCCAGTAAACGCCAGGCCGAAGGCATGTGGTTGCGACAGGCGTGCAGACATGCCGTTGACGCAGCACAAGATTCGATCGTTTACATTGGCAACGTGATGCGCAACTCTGCCGAAGGGCACGTCTGCAGGGTGAGGCTCCCTAGTACGGTTCTCCGTATTACAGTGGATGGCTGACCATGAGTGGAAGGCCATGAGGTACACCGCCTACTTCCTGGAGTGCAACTGCGCTGTGCTATTGCATGACAGTCTGTGGTCCCCTTCAAAGCATCCTCACCACCTCGAGTATGTGCAGAGCGCCCTCAATTGCCTCGGCCTTATGGTCCAAGATGCACCTGCAACGCTGGCGCAGGACTCCCTTCAGCAGGTATTGAAAGCTGTTGAGAAGGCCATCGCGCACCAGAACAGCTCGGCTGCCTCAACGCCGGGGATGGCAGGAAATCTGACTTCTCAATTCCCTTGTTTGCCCCATGCTCACGCCGCCAATTCCACCGACCAACACATCCACTTGACTGATCTTTGGGACCAAAGCCACGCCACTGGCGGCAATCCGACATTATCCGCGGAACAGGACATGCACGAATTCGACTTTGATGTCATGACGACAGATCTTCTCCATTTCTTTGGCCCAAGCACTGAGGGCAACCCAACGGGCAACCCAAGCTAGGGGTCCTCACGAGGCGACTGCACTCCTGCAACCGAAAGGATCGCAAGACGGCCGCGAACAGCCTGCAGCACAGCACCCTTCCCGGCCCGGACCCCTGGGTCGAGGCTCCAATCGATCGCACGCGTTTCGACTCACTACCTACTGCTTATGGTTGCGTCGACCTGATCTATTGAATAGAGGCCAAAGCAGCAAGTGCAACTATTCTTGCTAATGAAAGGCGGCTTCCTACTCTAGGACTTGACCTTTGTCAGATCTTGTGCAATGGTTTCGACTCTCGTTGAAGCTCTTGATCCACCAGAGCAGTAATTTCGATGAGCTCTTCATCGTCGTAAGGCCTTCCTACAATCTGAACGGTCGACGGCTGGTTTGAAAACAAAGCCGGATCATCTAGATAATCAATTAGCCCGACAGAATAGTTGAGGGTCTCGGCTGCAATCTGCACTCACACATGGCGTGGTTTGCCGCATCGTACGGGTTGGCGGCTGTAGGTCGGTACGCAGAATTGGGCGGATCAGCTTCCGGGCTGATTTTGAAATTCGGGATTGGTAAAACCGTGGAAGGATAGTCGAGGATATTGTACATGCATGTATATCCCCAGTAGATGTTAAAGTCGTGGGGTATCCCGGCCGACGGAGCCACGGGGCATATCAGCGCATCCATCGGGCGACCAGTTCTTGTTGAGCCCTTTGTCTGGTCCCATGCGTTGGCGAATAAGACTTTGAAGGCTCTCATCTGGTGGTTGAGCTGCTTCTGTCAGAATTACGTTCAATGCTTGAGTAGACAATGATGCGTACCTTCATGACCTCAGAAGCCGACAGAGACCTGGCATTGTACACTCTGAGGAGGTCAGCGAAGGCTGGGATGATAGGCTCTTCACCCGCATTGGCACTCTTCAGCGTGTCTTCTCCGCCCATCTGAAAGTTGATGTCAAACTGCAGCTCAAATGGTTAGCCAGTCTTGTGGTGTGTATACAAGATGATTTTCTCACATTGCATTTGGCTAGCTCCCAGCAGTCAAAAGGAGGTTCGAAATCAATCACTGGAGGGAATAGTCAGCCCCAAAGTTGAAGCGGCCAGCAGCATCAAAGAGCCCACCTTCAAATCCAGCATCCTGCAGAACCCGCCTGGTATGATCAAGCGCCCTTAAGACCGGCGGTTGAGGCATCACGACGCGGTCCCACCTCATGATGCCAACAGCAAGTTTCTGCGGTATGGTCACACGCCTCCACGGCATGGGTACCGCATTGGTGTCGTATCGAGATGCTTCATTGGAGACCAGGAGGCGGGTGAAGAGACGCACGTCGTCGATAGAGTGACAAACGGGACCTGCCGAGTCCCTGATCGACACTTGGCCTGTCATGCTGCCTTCCCAGAGGTTCTTCGGAACGCGCATCGCTGTTGGACGAATTGCATATAACCCGTTGAAGGCGGCCGGGGCGCGAATTGAGCCACCAATGTCCGATGACGGTGCTATTGGGCTTCCTCTCATGGCCACGAGGGCCCCATCACCACCAGAACTTCCTCCTGCGCCCAACCGCCTATTGAAAGGGTTTAACGTGCGGCCCCAGAGGTTACTGACCGTCTCGAGGACAAATCCAGTCTGGGGCATGGTAGTCCTGCAGAAGAAGACAGCGCCTGCCTCGCGGATGATTCGAACAACGTCAGAATCGTGCTCTGATACGTTTGACTTGACCTTGTTGGCGATATATCCGCGGGTTGTTACGTGGCCTTTTACACTGTAAGTATCCTAGGGACATTCTTGTGTGAGTGAGATCTGATTCTGCATGTAACGGTCGTGATCTCGCATCCATACCTTGAGCGCTACAGGGACGCCATGGAGCGGGCCCAATGGTTGGCCGCCATTGTCGAGAATGTCATCAAGCTCCTTTGCACGACGGAGACCTTCTTCGTAGAACCAGTCTGTGAGACAAAATACCTGCCGACCATCAGCATGCGGTTCCGGGGGAAGATGTCAGCTACGCCGCTCTAATTACCAGCTGATGAGCAATAGCAGCCCGTGCAGCGAAGGCTTCAAGCACTTCCACGGCTCTCAGAGCCCGCGTTCGGATGTGGCCAGACAGCTCCGTTACAGTGAGCTCTGTGATTGCGATCTGTCTTGCAGTCAAGATACCGCATGTGAACGGCACCCGAGTGACGTCGGTCAATCCAGCATATGGCTTGGGATCAATCCTCCATTTCCCTGGTAACCGCTGCAACAGCTCAGTCTGAGCCGCCTCCGCAATCGTCGGCCATCCTGCAGGCATGGTAATATGTGGGTCAAGGTGACTGTTGCGTTTTCTCCCAGAGTGGTCGCTGTCACTAAGGAGCTTTGGTCAACGTGAGGAATAAAATAGCCAAGCCGTGACGCTTCGATTGGTTGCCTGATGGAGTGGCAGAGCCGACTATTTCATCGCCAGCCTTATCCTCCAAAGGAAACTCCGTAACCCCACGGAGCCGGCGACTGACCCGGTGGGCAAACCCGGCCCGGCTTCTGTTGCTGTCGATCACAGGGATCTGGAGCCTGCCAAAACGAGCTAGCTGGGCCATGGGTCGGAGAACGGAGGTCACAGTACGGAAGACTGCAGGCCGAACTGGCTCAAAACCAAAAATGTGAATACACTGACCCTAGAGGGTCTTTCCTGAAAAATGAAAAAAATAGAGATACTAGCCCTAATTAGGATTAGTATATATATTTTCTATACTACCTAAAAATTCTAGCTAATTAGAAGCTATTAGCTATTCTATAGAGCGTTATCTTATATTTATAAGCCTATCTATATTCTTTCTTCTTAATTAATTAATAATCTATTATATAAATCGCACCCCCCTATACCTTAATATATTATAGATCTATTACGAAAATACTACTATTACTAGAATCGCTTTAATTAGGACTATATAATATTATTTTTTACGCTTAAATTAAATTAGTTTTCGTCCTAAAGCGATTAATTAAAGCGTTACTTAGAACTAAACGATAATTATTAGGGATTTTATAGTATTACTTAATTCTAGAACCGTTATTTCTATTCCTTCCTCTAAGGCTATATTCCTTCCCTTTTTAGATCCGAAACCCGGAGACTCTTATATAAATTAATCCGAAGCCGTCTAAAGCTATATAAGCTCGGATAGTATCTATTAATATAGTTTAGATATAATTCTTACTTTTCTTTTTTAATTTATTTTTATATAACTTTAATTTAATATTAATAAATCTATTTTAGATCGATCTTATCTATTTATAGCTTATTAACCCTATCTATCTTTATATAGAGTTAGATAAAAGTAAACGATCTTATTTAACTTTATATCCGCTTACTTAGTTTTAAACGATTTAGTATACTTTTATATAAATCTTATAGTCTATTATATAGGCCTATTTAGATTTATATAATACTATTTATAACTAGAAAACGTAAAACGACTACCTTTACCGCTAATCCGAAGGCTAAAAAGGCTAAACTAATTAAACTAATTACGAAAACGCTTATACGACCCTATACGAGACCGCCCCTTACCCTTAAAGTTATTTTAGATATTTCTAATACTAAAAATAATAATATAGATAGGAACGAGAGCGATAAGTTTATAAATTCGCTTATTAGAGCCTATATAATACTAAACGACCCTATTAATTCTTATAAGGCCTTAATCGAAAGTATTAATAAAGATATAGACCTAAATAATTTCGTTTAACTTTAAGATAGTAAAATTATCTTATTTAGTACTATCTAAGGAGAAAAGCTTTTATATATAAGTATATAGGATATTACGTAGCTAAATAATATCGTTTAAGGATTAATCTTAACCGTATAAGCCTTTTATTATATATTCGAACCTATATAGCTTTATATAATCTCGATCTAACCTTTTTATATAGATCTCGCTTTTAATATATTTTTAGTTATTATAAAGTTAATCTAGAAATCCCCTAAAATAAGTCTTTTCTAATCTATTTAGAGTTAGATAGGCTTATATTAACCTATATAGCTTAGCTTAAGTATAGACTTTACTTTTATAGTAAATATCGACCCTTTATAGACGATTATAGCCCTAAAAAGCTTTATAAAATTAAGTATAATATTAATACCTTTTAATATTATATATATAAGATTAAACGATCTAGTATAGCTATATACGAAACCTATTAATATAGAAATAACTTATTTATAAGCTATATAATAGTAGAAAGTATTTACTTAAACTATTAATATAATTTATAAGCGATTAAATATAAATTCCGTAAATTTAGACCTATATAAGCTTATCCGATATCGTATTAACTTTTTTAGACTCTTTTTTTATTAATCCTAAAAAGAAGAAGAAAGTACTTACTCTATTTAATCGTATTCTAATTAATCTAACTATAAACGGGGGTCTTTTAGCCTAAGCGAAGGAGATCTTAATTATTTATCTTTATAAAATAAAAGATCTATTTTCTATAATAGTAAATATAATCGAAAATAGAGAAGATAATAAATTTTAGCTTTATACGAATTCGTATATACTTTAATATATATATCCTAAAAGATTCTTTTTAGAATTATAATTATATAAAACGATATAACCCCTTTCGGATCTAAATAGTAACGTTTTATATTATTTACTATTTATTTATAAATATTTAGATTTTTATAATATTAATCTAGGGCGATTACGATTTTATAATAGTATTTAAAAGTTACTCTAGGATTAATAATTATTTTTAGGACTTTACGAAAACGTTTAATCTTTTCTAATAATATATAATTTAATTTAGGGCTATCCTAAAGTATTAAAGTAAATATTCTCTTTATTTAGTTTTTTTTAAGATTAAACGATTTTTTTCTAATATTTTCCCTTTTATTTAGCTTTATTTTTTAATCTTTAGGTTTATTCTAGTTTACTTTACTATATTCTATATTATTTAAAGAACTACCCCCCCCTTTATCCGATTAAGTTAATAATTAATTTAATAAATTTATTAATCCTAAAAAAAACGAGCTTAATAAAGCTTATAAATTATTATATTAAATCGTAAAAAATCGGAAATTTTTAATTTAGAAAAGAATTAATATCTTTATATCTAAATCCTAAAATAAAGAAATAATTTACTTATATAAGATTTTCTATATTTATTCTCCCTTAAACGAGCTTAATTAAGGCTATATATATTAAAATTACCTCGTATATCCTAATATAAGCTTATTTTAATTATAAACTCCTCCTTTTCTATAAATAAAGTAATAAATCTAACTTTATTATATCTATTATAAAGTAACTATCCTTTAATCTTGAGCTTTATTATAAAGCTATCTCGGAGAAGTTTAATTCCTATTAAAAGAATATAGCTATTATCGAATAGCTCTAAATAGAATATAATATTACGTATTTAGTCTCTATTCTAAAACGATCTCTATAGAATTAATCCTTTTAATATAAAATAAGAACGATCCTTTCTAATTAGCTTCGAGTATATATAACTAAACTCTTCTTTAATTATATCTTCTCTAATAATTAAATCTTATTTATATTACTTTAGGAAAACTTTATTATCTCTTAATATAGACTCTCCTAGCTTCGTTTAAAGCTAAGCCTTCGTTAACGATATATTATAGAGGAGAATAAGGTTATATAAAGTTAAGCGAGAGAGTTCCTTATAATTATTAATAATAATATAAAGAGGTTAAAAAGGTATAAGCGAGAATATCTCTATATAATAATTAAATAATAGTAATTAATTATTAATTATAACGTTCTCTTTAGTATTTATAAAGATATCTATTCTATAAGCTTTCGGAAATAATTAAACGATCTTAATCGATACTATAAAAGCTAGACCTATCTAAGTCCGAACTTTATTTAATCTATTAATATTTATAATAAGCTAAAACCCTATAAGATTAAGATATATATTAATATTAACGTATATTCCCGATTTATCTTATAATTCTATATTAATATTTATACTTATACTTCTATTAATATTAGCCTTTAGTATTTATCTATTATTTATATACTTAAGTATATTCTTTTATATATTTATATAGATAAAGGTAAAGAGATATTAATTATTATAAATATTTATTAATACTATTTAAGTCTAGCTAAGAGTAAATACTCTAGTATAGCTCTAAGTAAAAGTAATTAAATTAGATTCTACGATTATTTTATATATAAGAAGAGTATCTATAATATTAAGATCGAGTCTTAGTAGAATAAGCTTTATTAAAGTTATTCTAAGTTCTAATAAATATATTCTTTATTATTCTACCTTTATCTATCTCGTATTAATAATATTATAATTAATCTTTAATACTCTATATATTATTAGCTTTTTCGAATCCGAATATCTCTTTAATTAAATTATACTATTTTATATTTATATAAAGCTTATTAATACCGATCTACGAAGCTTCGTCTAAACGTAGAATAATTACTAAATATAGAAATAACGAAATCGCTTATATATTATTCTAGGATAACCTTAATATCTATATAATAACCCTAAATAAAACTATATAAAAGATTACTCTATCTTAATATATTCGGCTATTATCGATTAACTAAGAGAATAGATTAAATTAACCTTAATAGACTTTACTTAATACTTTTAAGCTAATATCTTAGACTTTTATTAGAATATTATAGTTTATATAAATTTAAATAATCCTAATTACTTCTTAGTTAATAGTATTAATATCTTATAATATCGTTTATATATCTTCTTTTATAAACGGTTAAAGGAGTATTATAAATAAAGTCGTTCTTTACTATTATAATTACTTTTACGTTATATAAATAAGATTAATTATTTAGAGGAATTACTTTATTTACGTAAATATAAAGTTAATAATAATAGGATTAATATAGAGAATAGTAAATAAGACGATATAGACTTAAACGATTAAAATTTAAAGACTAAGGCTAAGATCGATTAAGTTTACGCTTAAAGAGAAGTAAACGAACTCGAACTTTACTATTCTATTATCGTATATTTCTAATTCTACTTTAATATTAATAGAAGGTTTTATTCTATCTCGCTTTATACTATATAACCCTATTCTAGATACTCTAAGTTTAATTATAACTATTAAGCTTTATTCTTATTAAGGCGGACTTAAATATATTTATTTATTAATTAATAATCATTATTTAAGCTTTATTTCGCTTTTAACTTCCTTTTTAACCCGTTTCGTATATAATAGGTTTTACTTTAGTAGAACTATATCGATTAATTCCTTCTTAGCTCTCGGATATAATTATTTTAATATTAATACCTTTA